TTGAGCTTAGTTTAGTTTGCAGTTAACATATGAAAATGACAACATCATTTCACATTCCCTTCGAAGTCAGTATTGCGACAAATCACACAAGTTTTGATTTTCATTTTAGCTGTAGTTATGCATTTTAAATTCTAATTTTGTTCGTACACTGTGCACACAAATGTACAATCTCATGTCAATATCAACCACAGGCTGTTATACTAGCAAGCAAACCTAGAAAATAGAACAAAATATTTGCAAGTCAAATGAAGTTACATACAACAAGAGCGTCGAGTGCAAAACATGCATCTGTGCAGTAAAACATATTACACTGCTGGGCTCTACATTTGTAAGCATTTAAATGGAAAGCATGACAAGGAAATAACTTGTAAGAAACGTGGAGCCTACATTCTCAGTGTTTCACACAAATAATATCACTGCACAGAAAATTACATAAGGCAAATAACAAGTGTATACAGAGAACACATTCATATGTGCTGCTGGTATTGTATGTCCATACTTAGTCTCTAAGCAGATAGTGTTCCTCCCACAACAAGCAACAATAATAGTGTCATGTTCTTGAGAAGTAAGAATTGGATAGATTGTCAGTGTGATGTGAAACATAGTGTATGTGGTAATGTTTTTCCACAGGTCACACAGGGCTGTCATAGTCTTCTTAAATTCAATGTGTCAAAATATATATATAGTACAAAACAGCTTGACCAGTGGAAATGAACAAACAGCAACGGTCAAAGCTGAGCAGTGGAGCCAATATCTCCATCGCTGTTATTTAAAAAAAAAACAAAAAAAAACACTGAATTTCATTCAATGTGTTCGTGTCAAGATACTCATTCATTTTATTTTGAAGACCAAAATCTGAGGTCAATGCTGAGTGAAAGAGATCTTATGGCTTTAATAAAGTATCATCTTGTGTGTGTGTGCTTGATTGACATGTCTGAAAATGTAGGTCAGTAGTGGTGGTTGCTACTTGTTCATCCATCCTCCTGGTACATTTACATCAGCCCTCTGTTTGACATAACAACCCTGAAAAAGGAATGTGTTCTCACAGGTCTGATGGGGTTAATCAATATTAAGCAGAGTGGAAACAGATTGTAAACTGTGTAAGAGGAATATTACAGTTTGTAGTCCAAAAGTGTAATCATACAAAACTTAGTGATAATGGAGTGTTAGAATAACTAAAAAAAAGTGAGTCAGCGTTTCTAACAGACCACTGCATGAATTCACAGATCAAGGCTGAACAAAAGAAACACTCAAGCAAGTCAACAGGTGCATTTTTAAATGTGTGTATGTTATACAAGCTTTAGTTTAACAGAAATGAAAGAGGAGTTCAATATTTGCAGGGACAGATGACGAATGTGACCGTACCTTAAATGACAAAAGTTTCACTTCAAGCTTCAGAACCGAGGGATACTGGTCTGTTGCTCGACTTAAGAATTGATCTACTTTGAACATTTACTCCACAGAAATTGAGCACAAGAGTCAAAGCAGAGAAGACATCAGGCCCCAGTCTGTGTGGAAGCAGTTCCCTTGTTTGCTGTGGCGACAGTTAATTCTGTTCACTCGATGTTCTGGTTGTACAAGGAACTGTTTGAACTTCCTAACAAGCATAAAGACTTCTCTGTCCCTGAACACGGTCAGTCCTTACAATGATTTTACTCTTTATTGATCGAGTAGTTTCTACCAGTTTTTTGGTTGTTTCTGTTTCAAATTTGATCATCTTCTCTCACCCAGAATGCATCGAAGGTCCTTAACCAGGTGATTGTCTTATATTGCATCACAACTAAATTAGCCCCACAGCACAGGGAACACTGGGTAAACTGCAAAATTTCCTTAATGCAGGGAATCTTTCTTTTTTTTTAATTTAGAAAGCATTTCTTGAACACGCATGGACCCAATTATTTCTGACTGTCATTAGAGTAGTAATGTACTGAAAGAGACATTACACCTTTCTATGGCTTTTAGTGTCAACATTTTGGGGGGTGACCGTACTATCACATGAGGACAGACATGTACAAAATGCAGATTAATAGTTTTGAACATAAAGTGACATAAGTTCAACTCTTATGACTCTGTAATGAATGTGCAATACAGTTGGCAAGTCACTGCAGAACTCCGTAGTGAAGTGAATCAGTCTGTGTGTAGTACCACTGCTGTGATGTCAAACACCCAGACGATGGTCTATTACAGCTGAATAGACAGGAACTTCAGCATCTGTGAAAAAGACACAACTCTTAATAAACAGTTGATCGACCTTGACAGGTCGAGACAGTCCAACAGGTTAGAAACAAGGTCAGGTTGGCCCAACTTATTTGGTAGAATTATTACCCGATGTGCAATTAGTATAGCTCTCAGATTAATGTTATGGAATAAAGGTATGTAGCACTAAGAGTGAGTGATTGATTAAATGTACAATATTCTCTAATATTGTACAATATTCCCTGAATCAAAAATAATTAGAATTAATCCATCGAAAAACCTCATACAAATGTCTAATGTTATTGTTCAGTCCATGCAGTCATTAAAAATAATTAAAAATAATCACAATTTCAATCAGTAAGAAATTATAAAAAGTTTGGAGTTCGGTGACATTTATCAAGTGGCAAATGTAACCTTTTACATCACATCGGGGAATGAAAGGGCTTACCATAAGTTTAACTTGTCTTCACCTTGTCTTCAACAGACACAAGTTTTTCTTTATGCTTCTTACAATCTGTCATTTCATTAGTCTCCTTTCCCTCCTCGTCCTTTTCATCTTCTTCTTCTTCGTCCACGCCGATTATCACACTCTGTCGAACACTGACAGAGATCACCACTGCCTGTATGATGCCATAGATCAAAGCAAACTGGGAGAGATACTCCTGGATCAGCCAGAGTAATCCTGCCATTCCCACTGTGGAGACAAAAAACATGGCCATACCATGAAACCACAGCCGCAGTGCTCCCTGCACTCCCAACACCTCCAGGATCAGCTTTGTAGGAGGAGACACAGTCCACAGGAAGCCAACAACAAAGAGGTCAAACAAGTGTCGGAGGAAGTTGAAACAGATCTCGTAGTGCTCTGGTAGGATTTCCACCTTCCAGCTGTCCGCAAAGAGTCGAAAAGGTGATGTCAGCCGAGAGGAAGGAGGTGTAGGAGATGGGGGTGGTGTTATGTAGTCGGAAAAGTCCCCATCGACATCATGATCCCATGCACCTCGACTCTGACCATCATGTTTCCTTTGACTTAGTGTGCTTGGTTCTGATTTTCTTGGCCACAAATTGTAAGTTGGGAGATATTTATTCCACCATCCAGAATCTACCACAGTCTTCTGCTTCCCTGCACAGAGATCTTCAATTTCCAAGGGCGGAACCCTCTCCTGAGCCTCCCAGTACTCCTCTACAGGAGAACTTTGGTCACTTTGACGTCTCCACCCACCCCAGAGCCAAGAGGTCCACCCCCTGCGGCTCTGGCTGCTACAGTCAGACTTCTGGCCCTTGACTACTACCGCTGAGGTATTGTCTGACACGACACTTCTGCCCCATGAGCACACCCAGCCCAGTGCTCTGCCTACCACAGCTGTCATCCTTTCTCAGTGAGCTTGTTGGAGGTGTAGAAAAGCCTGCGGATGCTCTGTTGTCTGCTCTTCTTGTGTCAGTCGACTGCGCGGTTCTGTGAGCACATAGGAAAAGTACGCATGCACCTCCGATGCAGCTATGAAGTTGTTATACTTGTTCACAAGGTTTCGGGCCAGGGGAAATGACGTCCTCGAGCCAGGGACACACCTGAGGGTGTGTGAGGCCAGTTCAGCTGACAGAAGAGGTGATCCTACTCGATGACATTACAGTGCTTCTAGATCAACTGACTCGTCTACATGCCTTTGTTTTAACCTGGCAACATTTGAATCTGCAGTGTTTCTTCAATACCTCAACATTGTGTGTCCGATAATCAAGTCTGGTCGGTTGAACGGACCGAGTCTCCGGCTCCACGACAGCTGCAAACGAACATTAACGTTCCTGCTTCAGAGTCTTCGTCTCCAGAAATAACCCGTGTCCGTCCTCATACTGGAAACAAAACCAAAGACATGTACAGTTCAGCTGAGCAGCGTGAATTTTGACTTCATCTTCCACGTCAACACGAGTTAGCCACTGTTACTGGCACCTTCATTGTTGTCTTAGCTAACCACTGGGCTTTAACTAGTAAGTTTAACTGGTTAGTAGCTAACCCAAGATGATTAATTGTTAACAAATACATGTGAGTTTTCCGGAAACTGGCAGATGTTTGAAAACTCACCCTTTGGCGATGTTGGCTATTGTTCGTCTTCCAGACCGCAGCTAGCTTCTTGTTAGCATCAAATAACTCGACACGCAGAACAAGTTCCTCGACTTCCGGATCCTGCTGTAAACCCACCAGCGTGTTCGTTGTGTTTGGAGAACAAGTGAAGTTAGCTTCCACTCAGGGTGACCACAGATACTGAGACTGACTCCGTCGCCCAGCCGAGCACAGGCTCCTGAGGCGGCTTCAACTGCTGCGACGAACTACCGGTTTGGTTTGAGCCTTCAAAATAAACTTTCTGTGATTTACCCTGGTCACACCACACTTACCGCAACAGCCCCCAGTGAGTCGACTATTTCATGAGTGATGTGACCGGAGGCCCTGCTACATTTAGTACAAGCACTTAGGCTTGAACATAACGCAATATGGGTTTGGAAACTTAAGACATGCAGTCTCACACGGATAACAATTTGTATATCTCATAGTCACAAATCCCAATTTGTCCCACAGGGCATAACAAGGTGCAAGATCCTCTGCCCTTCACCCTCAGTATGAGTAAGGAACTACAAGAAAAAAAAAAAAAAAAAAAAAACCTGCGACAGTATGCCAACAAAATATTTACGACATTGATGAGAAAACATCCAACATAATTGGCAGGGTGGGTCAATGTTAAAGGATTTATACCAACTACAATGTCTGAGTGAAGTGACAATTGTGGCATTAGTGTATTTGAAAAGGCAAATTGTGTCAAATGTTGAAATCCACAATTAGAACCCCATCACCAGGCTTGGCTTCTGGAAAAATATAATCATGTAGCTGCATGTCACAACTAAAAGTTTGTACTTTCAGTTACTTAATGAAATCAAAGTCTCAAAACTGTACCATCTGTGATATAGTTATGAAATCTCTGGAGATAAGCACTCATTTGTCTACATAACAGAAACCTCATGTGTGCATTTAATAAAATGTGGGTGTAGAGGTATCGCATTGTTAGACACCATGGGCCCATTACAATATCTACATTTGTTTTAGTCATTAGAAGCACCATTATGAATGCTTGGTGAAATGTAGGAGAGCAGTCTTCAGGTCACAATCTGCAACTTCCCAGATTAAGCTAAAGCTCCATCAAAATAAAGTTACAATAAGTTTCCGGTCTTTCATTTTATGCATGCAACCTGCAATTACTGAGGAAAAAAGACAAGTCTGTTGTCAATTATTTTATTTAAAACTTCATGAAATCCATCTGCATGTCATCAGTTCAAACCATTATTGCAGGTCAGTATAAGCCATGTGCACACATTACAGGACAACACCCACTGGCCAGCTCCATTTCCTGGATGACCTTTTGTCGACCAGTATTGACACTTGTGGCAGTTTAACCTCACTGGTGCAGCGCCTGTAGGGGGTGAAATGAAATCTTAACATTTCAGCATCACTCCTGGGAACCAGTCTTACTTTCTGCAACACTCATCAATACCAACCTGGTCCAGTTTTAGTGCCAGGGTGTCATCTAGCTTGAGCTGCCTCAGTTAAACCTGAAGACAGAAACCAGTCATTTTCACCACTGTTAGGGCTTCAAAACATTCAACACAACGCGCAAAGTGTCTCAGTGCGCTGCGAGTAAACTTCAGTAAACATCAGTCGAACCGAAATATGAATCATCATCGACAAAACTAATATGGCTTTACTTTCACATGTTGTTACTTACAGCTGCACAACGGTCACTTCACCTCCTCGCAATGTGTTCGAGGATGAGCTAGAGGACACAAAAAATAAAAAATGTCATTCACATGCAACAAGGGTAAGCTCAGCTTCACACACCAGCTTTGACTGTTTTAACCCAATTACTGCAGTCATATTGAACTTTGAGAATAGAAGGTTTAACTACTTTAGAAAAATGTCAAAATGAACTTCTGCAAGGTCCTGGACAACTGGGGCATTAGTTTCTAAGTGATAGTCTAATGTCTTGAACACCTCAGTGCGATTTACCAGATGTAGACTATTTATAAGTCCCTCGCGCTCTTTTTAATTGGTAAGGGAGAAGCTTTATTTAAATTTGGATCAGCCAAACATTTGCATTTGATAATATGTTTGTGCTTACTGTCAGAATTAACTGAGATGATTCAACTCGACACCTTAGACATGTCTTTGTTCTATCATTATGCCGCTTCCGTACACAGGAATGTTGAAATGAACATTTCATGGTTGTGTACAATGATAATGTCTTAATATATCAACCAGTAATATGAGAACTGTAGTAAATGGGTTGAAACACAGACCTCTGCTGTGGTTATGTGGTCAGTGCACTGTGAAACATCTTCATGCTTTTATCAGAGACTCTAGTCTATGATGTCATCATTCCACATAAAGTAACAGAACAGAGCTCTTTCAGATCCCACACTTACCTAGAGGAGGCACCATCTAGTCCCCCTCATGTAGACACCTGAAGAGAACCAGGAACTGTATTAGAACCAGTGGTGATCTTTGCATTAGCATAAAGAACTAGCTATATTCATGCTCAGTGCACTGTGAAAGAGCTTCATGGTTTATCAGAGACTCTAGTCTAGTGAATCATCAGTGCCATATTGGGTTTTACAGCATATAGTGGCCACATGGTGTCCCAGACACTCACCATCAGTTCATGGCCACAGACTTTATTCTTGTTCCAAAGAAGAACACAGGTCCGGGTCAAGGGAACAAAGATGTTCCCCTCAGAGCTCTGAGGAGGCCCCAGTTGACCTCTGCATCAATCATTCTTGATCCTGAAAAAGCAGAGTGGGGAATTTCCAATTATCAGTCATAGTTTAATGCTTAGTATTGCTTTTCAGTGTCAGACATTCATTTTCTAAAATCTGCACATTTTGAGTCAAATTCAGTCACATTTAGATCTAGTGTTTATGACTCAAGCACCAGTCCTTAAACTGATGGGGGGGATTTATTTTTTAATTGGTGCTGCTACCATGTTTCAACAGCACATCTATATCACTCATGAGTAGGCAGATGATGTTCAAACATAGTTACATAATGCTCCTGACATCTTTCCACACAATAATCTATGTTATTGTTTAAATCATAACTAAAGAATTTAGATTTTGAAATGCATAACAGTAAAGCACTTCTGGTTTAATTGTATCCAACTTTGTTTGAACCCCTATGATCTGATAAGCACTTACTTCATTCGTCCCTCCAAGTGGTTCTGCAAAAGTTCCTTCGACACTCAGTCATGAGCTGTGCAGACTCGTAGTGAAGGTTCATTTTATCGTCTGCAGGGGAACAAAGATCAGAGTTTAGGCCAAGTACGTTCTCCTCACCACACCACGTGGCGAGCACAGAGAAACCACTGCAGACGCAGCAGTCCCTTCTATCACGTCCTGTCACCACACAAACCTGAGAAGCAAATTAAGAAACAATTACCAAACGTTACATTTACCTCTAGTTCTCTCTGGGGAGAGCTTGTTTGTTCGGACTTCCTCTCGGTATGCCTTTGCGTCAGTCAGGATCGTGCGGCCTCGACGAAAGACTGCACATGGGCCCGTCCATGGTTTATATACATACGGGTCCTTAACAGCTCCGCCTGCTTTAGGTGTCCTGAATACTGCCGGTTTTTGACGGCCACCGAAATCAGTGCAAATTCTATATTATCATGACATAAAAGTACATTTTAAGAAAGGAAAGTAAAATAACGCAGTTAAGAGATAGTTTTACACTATAACCATAATGTACATATATGTTGTTACACACTATTAAGGCATAAAAATAAATTGACATGAACAATCTTGACAAAGTAAAATGTGAATTCAAGAGGTGTTTATTTTGGGATTTAAAAAAAAATCTATTTCAAATTAATAGAATTACAGACATGGGTCAAATACAAGAGTGGTCTGTGTACATCAAAAAATGTGATTATTATCTATAATTCTTAGCTATTATTACTGATGAATAAAAACTATATACGTTGCATGAAATACATACCTGAATCAAACATGTACCCGTGCATGACAAGAGCATATTCTGTACATAAATATATGGCTATGAGTACGTTTTTGACAGGGGGTTGTGGGTTTTCTGATTTGCTCAGCATCATCTGTGAATCAGAGTCAATATATCAAAAACGAATTCACAGTGTACAGTGGACATTTGAAAGAAATTAGAGATCTTATTTCTAGTATTTACTTACATGCAAACGCCGGGCAGCACAGCTGCAGTGAGAGAACTACAAGTACCACCAGCCGCAGCGCATTTCGGGGATGCCAGGTTCTCACGGGCTGGAATGGAAAAGCTCTTATGAGGAGCTACGCCCTCTCCGGGTTCTGCCCCTTGGATCTGGCAACACTCACAGCGCCCACAGTGTCGTCACTGAGGTCAGGTAAACGGAGCGAAAATGGCGACCGCCTACGAAAGATACAATTTGTAAGTACACGCAATAGCGTTAATCCTCATTGTTTTTCAGGTCGCTCTCCTCACGTCCATGTCCGTCAGAGGACAGCTAAGAGGCGACGCTCGCGAGCCGGATGAAAGCGCAGCCGCGGTCCGGGAGCGGCGTCGGGTCAGATGACACAGCGGCTGAAGTTCGCTGACAGGCTCGGCTGGTAGAGCAAGAAGCAGTCAAGTTTCACTCCACACTCATTCATTATGAAGAGTGTGGAGTGAAACACACACACAGAGACAGACACACACAAAGACACACACACACAAAGACACACGCACACACAGGGGATGTGTGTTTAGCCTGCTCCGTGTCATCAACGGCCTCATGGGGGTTCAGAGATTTAATATATGTAAAAGCTTTTATAAGCTAGCGTGGCTGTCTATACGTGCCTGTGTGAAATGAGTTGTCTTGGCCTGTGTTAATGCTTCAGTCTACTTCATAGTATTTCCTTGTCATTAGTGAGTCCTCTTGTAACACTTCTACAATAGAAGTTGTGTTGTCTGTGTGCAGAGCATTTAGTAAACAGTCTTTGTTGCAGAGTGAAGTGAAGAAAACTTTCCTTTCATCCTACCTGATTTATCTGCAGCGAAGATTTTATGGTCAATGCTTATGATAAAATGAAACTGACATTTTTAATAATAGTGAATGTACCTAATGTCGAAATCCACATACAGCTGTTTTCAGACATAAACTCCAGAGGATGTCCGGTTTGGACTTTCTCTGGAGTTTGTCTTATACAGTGAACAACGCAGCAGGAGATTCTCAGGTCAGGCATGTTCACAACAACACAGAAGTCTCTGGAGCGTTCAGGTGTGGGGTGGTGCAGCAGGCAGAGACAGGATGCAGTGTCAGAAATTACGTTGTGGAGATGTTTTCATTTACAGCACTTCGACAGTGGTGTCAGCCCTGAACACCAAAAGCGTTGACATCTTCGTTGGTGTCTTCTACATGTGTGGCAAGCATTTTTCATCCCGACATGTGTATTCTTTCCGTTTATTTCAGTTTTGCATCTGTCCAGTCACATGTTAGAAACGTCATCAACACACCCACTCGCTCACGGAGAATCCTGCAGCCGATCCCCCTGCTGTTTTCACACATCGGCTCATTCGGATATTCTGCTCAGTTTTTACTAGTGGGCTGGATGGAGAAAGTCCAGAGGTTGTCACTCAGACATTTGCGTTCTCACATACAGTCCCACTGGAGAATCTCTGGAGGTTGTCTGATTTTCAGTCCATGTCTTAGAGAAGCTAGACAGACAGTAGGTAGATAATATATCCATTGTCCACATCCAGTTCTGTACATTCCTTTCAGAGGTGGAGCTATGACTGTTGGATTACGACACACACCTCTCTGTATGGTAACTGTTCACAGGCTCTCATGACTTAAGAGCCAGTCATGCTACAGCTTTGTTGAAAGTTGACAGAGCTCTGTGTGCTTTTCCCGACACACCTTTGTTAATGTTGCATTATTAGTTAAACTGTTCAGTCCTACTTGTGTTTCCTACCACCTGTACATTGTTGGTGTGATCATGACCAGAGTGTTGCTCATCTACTGTGCATTTTAAAGAAGTGTAGAGAGTAGTGGGCGAGGTTGGATCAGGGCTTTCTGCCAGAAAGGTGGTAGTAGGCAGTCAGGTTGGGTAGCATGTAACAAAGTGAGCATATAGAGGAGGTCATGGTGGATGAATGGGTCAAACAATGATCATTTATCAGGAGCCTGGGATTCATGTCCCTTCTCATAAAAAAAAAACTTTTGTTAAAGAATTGTTTTGAGCTTCTTGGTTTTGTTGACATTGAGCAGCAGGTTGTTCTCTTGTGCTCCACTCAAGATTGTTGAGTCCCTACTGATATGAATCCTCTTCATTATTTGTAATGTGGCTGATGAAGATGATGATGGTGGTGTCCTCTGCTAACTTAATAATACAGCTCTCTCCATATCTGAGAATGCAGTCATTGGTGCAGAGTCGGAATAGGAGGGAGCTGAGTGCACAAACCTTAGAAGGTTCTCAGGTTTCCACCAGAATGGAGGGGTTGACTGCCAATCTGCACTATCTGGGACCTTTTTGTGGGGAAATTCTAAATCCAACTGCAGAGTAGGGTAGTCAAGTGATGTAGTTGTATTGAACGCTGAGTTGAAATCACCAGACAGCTTTTTGATGTAGGTGTTATTTTCAAGGTATGCAAGGACTGAGAGGAGGCAGTGGAGATGGCATCCTGGATGGACCTTTTGATTCTAGTTGCAAATTTGTGAGGGTCCAGGCTGAGCGGGAGAGGGTGGTCCTCATTTAGATCACACACTGCAGGCGTTTTAGATAAAGGGACAAAAGCAGAATCAACCTCTCATTGCCACACTCTTGTGTTCTGTCAGAGTGGAGAACAGTTTTCCATAGAGTGATAGAGCTTGGGCTCTGAAAATGATGTGGGCACAACCTTCTCTAACTTCCCATTGCTAAGTGAGACTGAGTCTTATTACATCCATTTAATCTAATCCCTGCAAAAGAATGTGTTAACGAACATTAAATATTCAAGAGATAAAAATGTTTAAAACATTTTGACATTGATAAATGTCACATTATTCTTTCTTTTACATTTAAAGACTCATTTTTCGTGAAGGCGGTGGTTGCAAATGAAATGACATGACATAACCTCAGTATTTATCTTAATGTTGGGGTTTCAGCTCTTCTTGAGAACCTTGAAGTTAGTCAAGAAAAACAAGCACAAGAATGATTACATCATTAGTTAAGCAGAAGAACATTCACTATCGTATTAGTCATCTCGTGACCACTCAGACTTAAGCTGCTATTCATTAGTTTCAAGTTCTGAACCCCAGGTTTCAAATCATTTATATAACTACATTACTAATATTTATATTTTTCACTCGGATTCCTAACATTACAACTATTTATTTATCAGTGTATTTATTGAAATTCATCAAAGTGTGATTTTGAACTGTTTAAACTACTTTGTGTGGGTGTAGCACAGGCATGTTTAGTTTGGTCTAGATTACATAAGGCCAACAATACAGTGTTTGTATGGATTTGTCACTGCTACAGCAGCTGAGTGTTTCACTACATCACCCTGAGCTCCAAACTTCCCTGAGGCTGAATAGGAGATCATTTTTTTCTACCGCAGGGATTTAAAGCTGTATTTCTCAAGATGTTGCCATCTCTGGTCGATCTAATTGAATATTCAATCAAGTGGTTTTATAGGAAAGTTGCATCCATACCAGACTTTCATTTAATTATGAACGGTTTCTCACAATAGACTTTCTGCTTCTTTTTGCCTTTTCCTATTCCAGCTGTTTTTGTTGTCAGTCATTTAGAAATGGGGAGAGAGTATGATGATAACCTGAATGAATGTGCATACCTGGACTTTTACTGTAGCTTCTGTTATTACAGTACATGGTGTTATGATCCCAACACCACTTGACCATTGGTCATAAAATCATTGTCCTTCACAAAGACCTCCGCAGGGGGTTCAGGGGTCACATAGCTATGGATGTGACACGGAGTCAGACTGCATCCATATGCTTTTCACTCACCTGGTGCTTTATTTGGATTCACTTCTGGGGACGGGGTTTTGCCATTGAAGTACACTGAACCCCCTGTCATGTTCATCAAACCTGCATTTTGATTTGAAGCTTTTCTTCTCACCACAGCTTTAAATACATGTGTGCTGAAGCAGGAGAACATGGCATAGATGTGTGTGATGAGCAAGCTGCAGTTTTACTCCTGAATAACATTTTCTTTGTTCTTTCCCAGGCACACAACTCCAGAGAAGTTCTTCATTGAAGCCTGTGATGAGGGGGCTGATGCTGTGCTGGCAATTGACAGGGTTTCAAATGAGATGACCCTTACAGGTAGAAAGTCTTTGTGATGTCCTTGATACACGGTCATAAAACTGTTACTTTTAATCTATAAGCATGAATATACAAAAGCAACTGGACATGTTTCCACAAAGCTTGGTGGAATGATGCAGTATGGTATGGTACATTATATGGGTGAAAGTATTGGCATAGATCACATTATATGCCATATGGGTATGTTTGTCTTTGTTTTATTAGTCTTATCAAGTTCGTTCAAAGTTTAGAATCTAGATTAAAGTTAGAATATCACTCCTTTTTTTATAAAGCATCTAAGTCTTTAAGCACATTGCTGCTCTCACAGGTAAAAAGGATGTCCCTCCCTCGGCAGTCACCAAGCCTATATGTGGCATCATGGGAACCATTCGCCTGGTAGCAGGTAGGTTCCTTTGTAATACAATACTGTGTTGTCAGTGCTCTGTGGAGCAGCTCTGTATTCTGTGACAGTGAAACAGCTGTGGCTGACCACTTTCACCACGCAGGGATGTACCTGATCGTTATCACCAGGAAGAGGAATGTGGGCAGCCTCCTGGGCCACGCAGTGTGGAAGGCTGTGGATTTTGACGTGATCTCTTACAAGAAGACAGTGCTACACCTCTCCGAGATCCAGGTCAGAAAACTTGTGCGCTCAGTGCTGTAGTGTAAAGATAATGTCGAAAAATGCACTTGTATTAACAGCTTCCACTGCTGCACATTCACTTCCCCAAATAAAACCTAGGCAGTTGTGTGTTAAGTGAAAGTCTGTATGAGCTGGAACACAGCAGGAGATCCTCTGCCGGATTTACTAAGAGTAAAATTTAATAAAACAAAACAAAACAAAAAAAGAACAAATATCTCAGCATTAAAAAGCGGTGCCACACACACAGAAGACACCGACGAATATGTAAAGAGAGTGTGTGGTGATAATAGCCAATGCCGGTTGCGATGTGCTATAAACAAAAATGTGATCTCAGCAGCAGAATAATAACATGCTACATCCTGCCTCTGCACTGCACCACGCCTCACCTTATAACCTTAAAAACAGGATTTGTTGCTGTCGTGAACCCGTCTGAGCGGAGAATCTCTCTTGAGTTCCTTTGCAGATCATGTCTGAAAACGGTGTTTAGTACCACTTGCTAGCCTCCTCCGCTGGATTGAATGCGCCAAGCATACATTTAAATTTCCACAGTTTGTCACCTTATTTTCTCATGACATTTTTGACCAACAGCAGTCACAGTACAACTTATGTCCATAATGGATTTCCTGATAATAGACTGTCAGTGCCGCTGCTGAGTGGTTTGGAAATTAGAATATTAGAATAATACAAGCCATAATACAAAGCCTATATTGTCATTTTAACTGTGTTGTATTTTGTACAAAACGATTAAAATTGCTTTTCCAGGCTGAACCATAAAATGTAAATAAAAGAAACACATTGCACTCAACAGATCATGCATTAAAAAGAATTAAGTATAAATTCAGACAACCTGTTTGGGTTTCTCAGACATCTATGCTCTCTGACTGAGATCTTATGATTATGATCATTATGTATTGCATTCTGGTAGCATGCTATGCTCTCTGACTTCAGCGAAGCAGGCAGTGCATTATTAATCTGTGGCCCCTTCCATTTTGTTATGCTAATTAAACATGTATCTTAGCTTGAAGCTGTATGATTCAAAGCCCTTTGCATTTCGAGAGTAGAGTGGAAATTTGGAGGAGAAAGTCAAAACGCCAAGAATAAAGGGGAATTAAATCAGAGTAATATTTAATTTTGTTCCAGCTTCCGAAGCTTATGTTGTATCTATTCAAAGGCCTTATACTGATTATCACACTGTAGCTGCTTCCAGGCCCAATTCTCCGGAGTTCCTCAAGAGGTCATGTCTGATAACAGCTTGTGTTAATGAGCTAAGAAAATATTTCCTTCTTAAAACTGATTTTGAAGTACAGTTTCTACTAGTTCGTCTAAACAAGGCTTTTATAGAGGCAGTCTGCTAATGATAGTAGTTTTGATGTATTCTTAAAAGTTTGACTTAAGTCTTAAAATTTAATGTTTATTCTCGACAATTCAACTTTATTCTTGATTTGGAAAAAAGAACTTTGCCCTTAACATTTTTACTTTATTCTTGAAATGCAAAATAGAAAAAAAAATTCTCTTCTCATTTTTGCCCAACCAAAATACTCTTCCGTAGGTTGTAGTGAATTACTGGGGTTTGTTCGTTTGTGGGTTTTATTTTGTAGTGTCATGACTGGCCATCCAGGAAAGCTAAGAGCTGACCAAGTGACAGGAATGTAAGAAAGCAGATGGAGTGAGTGAACAGTGAAATGTCAGGCTTCCCTCTCTGTGCTAACTGGCTTAGCAGTCAGATCCTATTAGCCTGGCAGAAATATACAAAGCTCAAAAAAGGACAAAACTCTCTCTGATACAACTGTCACTGCTGTATTAGACTAAATCTAGCATGAATGTCACCTCACACTACACCTGCTCTGTCAAATGGTCCTGAAAATGTGAATACAACAACTCAGGGCACTCAAAAGCCTGAAAAAACCTGTGGGTCTTTAGTTTAACTTTAAATTTGTCTGTGGAACACTTGATTGTAAAAGGTAAACTGTTCTAAACGTTTGGAGCAGCAACAAAAAAAAACCTAGAACAACTGACCAAGGCAGAGCCATGAGCAGCTGGTCAGGGGATCTGAGAGTTTTTGGAGTGGAAAGGAGGCAAAGAAGCTCAGACCTGTATTGGGAGAGCAGGCCATTTAAAGCTTTAAAAAGAATCATATTCTTTGGAAGCTAATGCAGAGATGCTGCCTCTGGTATAGATTTCAGAATATATATATTTTTTTCCTATCTTTGCAAAATTGGGCTTTTTGCAGTTCGATACCTGATGCTTGATGATACCTGGGCCGATATTTACCTTGGTGTAATTCTCAGGAGTTTGATAAATACAAGCCATGGTGTGTAATGGATTTTATGCCTGTCAGTCATACAAAGATAGAGCTGAGGTGTCTGGATTGAAAAGGATAAATCCTGTACACATACAAGTTCAATGTACAAGTTTGCAGTTTCCTGCACTCTGCAAAGTGCATAATCAGGAATTTTCCTGCACACTGAAAGTCTGTTTTCTTTCCTCCTCCAGTCTCAAGAGAATAAGACCTTCCTGTCAATGATTAACAATGTGCTGACTACAGACGGATTCTACTTCTGCACTGACTACGACCTGACACACACTCTGCAACGGCTGGCCAACACTAGCCCCGACTTCCAGGAGATGAGTCTACTGGAGAGGGTGAGATATCCAGTTGTCCACACTACAGTCAGTGATTTATCATAAATAATCAATCATAGATTATTTTACAATAATCGTGATCATAAAGTACTGGATTTCTGATGTATTATTATTATTATTTAAAATGAGATATATCAAATGTTCAAATTATTTACGTATAGATTCCATTTAAAGATAATTACATTAAACTACATTATCTAAAGTCACTTGGAAATGTATCAGATACACCACCTTATTGTAAAGTGTTGTCATATGCTTTTGCATGTGTGAATGACGAATAGTGTGTTGTGGTTTTTAGGCAGACCAGAGGTTTGTGTGGAACGGGAACCTGCTGAGAGAACTGGCTGCACAGCCAGAGGTAACAAATGTCCTGACCTGTGGCCCAATTGTTCTTCAGCCATGCAGTGGTTTTGTACTTTTGTTTGTACATTTTATTTCATAACAACATGTGTTGACTATTTTCCCATAGCTTCATAAGTTTGCACTTACTGTTGTCCATGGATGTATCCTTTTCACTGAAGTTTTTTCAAATTTTATTGTGGAGCATGGGCTGTCTGGAGTCATTGTAGATGAGATGAAATGAGAGTAGAGTAGCAAAGAGGATGAGATGAGATGCTGAACTGAGCCTTTCCTTGACCACTGTGATCCAGTCATTGTCATGAAGCCATGTCGTATAAACGGGAAGATCTTTGAGTGGATCCTCATATCCAGAAGGAGCTGCTTCCGGGCCGGTGTCAGATACTACGTAAGAGGTATGCATTTTAAAAAAAAAAAAAAAAAACTGAAGCAGGAAACTGCATTGTCATCTGTGGAGACAAACCACGGCTGGCTGTAGCTTTGGCAAGCAGCTTTGAATCAGGAGATTGAGCAGGTTGTCCACTAACCAGAAGGTAGGTGGTTTGATTCCCAGCTCCTCCAGTCTGCATGTCGACTGAACACTGAACCCAAATTGCCAGTTGTGCCGGCAGTGTTTGAATGGTGTGTGATAGAGCACTTTGAGCTTTCGATAAGACTGGAAGCATATATATATATATGCGCATTATAAATACATTTAACATGAGCTTGTGTTCTGTTCTACAGTAGCAGAGGGTATAACGTTGTCGACCTCACCACTGGCGCTGCTCATAAGAGTGTCTTGTTGTCTTTACAGGTATTGACTCTGAAGGCCATGCTGCTAACTTCGTGGAGACAGAGCAAATCGTTTTGTATGAGGGAGCAAAGGCTTCGTTTGTACAGGCAAGTATGAGGGCTGGTCCAGCTGGAATACTGTTAAATGAAGGATCCTTCTCTCTGTGCCACTTTTAACTCAGATGTTAAAGCATATAAGTTTGAGAAGCTCACAGTTTCACAAGTGACCTGGCAATGTTTTCATCCCCAGACACGAGGTTCCATGCCCTTTTACTGGAGTCAGAGGCCAAACCTCAAATACAAGCCTAAACCTATCATCAGCAAAGCCACCAATCGCGTAAGAGGATGTGTTGTGTGTCTTTTTAGAATAGTGATAGATATGAAAATTGGATGTTAACAGCTTGTACCTTTGTACAGATGGATGGTTTCCAGAGGCATTTTGAGTCTCAGCTCCTCATCTACGGGAAGCAAACCATTCTCAACCTGGTGAGGGCCCTTTTTTGAGCTCTTTTTATTAACACATATATAAAAGACTCTTTACTCATATTTGGCCAACTGGGGTTTTCTTCTTCTTGCAGGTGAATCAGAAGGGCTCAGAGAAGCCACTAGAACAGGCCTTTGCCAACATGGTGTCAGTCATGAACAATGGTATGCTCAAGTAAGTGTCCCTCAATGCATTGCACAGTTTTTATAGTCACTGAGTACACAGTCACGCAGAACACATGTGCTGTAGTAACCTGGTTACAGTAAAACTGCAGCAGGTAAGTAATCTGTTCTTTCCCCTGCACAATCACTGTACCTGGGTTTTATTCTGCTCTCTTATTACCCTGTTTGTGTGTGTGCGTGCATGTGTGTGAGTATCTGTGTGCACGCGAAAAAAATCGACAACACAGACTCACCAAACTTGATGTGATTATTACTTGTTATGAATCTCCAGATTATTAATTTTTGAAGCTGATCAGTCAAAGGTCAAGATATACAAAAATATGGTCAGAATATGGTTGGAAGGGTTATAATTAGTAGAATTATTTCCTTTATTACTTATCATATTTGTGTGTGATAGGTGATGTCATAAAGAAGTCACAGTCAGAAAATGACATCATGTAGTTCAAAAATGCATTTCCAGGCATCTCTGTATCCTGTTGAACTATAGACACAACCTAGAGTTTATATAGATGGACAAAATAATCTGTAATCCTATGGAAGAATAATACCATAATGATGCCATTATCAACACTGCACTACAGCATTACATGTTGCTGCCAATAATATTAGAGACACAAACTACAGCTTATTTAGATTAACCATTAATCTTCATCATGTAGCATAATTGACGTCACGATGACATCATGATGAAATGGCTTTATTACAATATAAATAATCTAGCATTCCCATTGTGGTATATATTGATGCATGCAGCATATGCATCACCCCCCCAATACATTTCATTTTATCTGTGGTGTCAGTCCAGAACTGGATTTTGTAGCAGACTGACAGTGCATTAAGAGTACGACAGACAAACAGAGAAAATGTGTTTATATTTAACAAATAACAAATACTCTGTTCAGCAGTGGAAGCTGTGTTTGTTTATTTTGATGGAATTATATTGAATATCTGAATGCTTCTGAAGCAAATGTGAATGGACTGACTGTGTTATTACCCAGTAATTGTTAGACATTTAAATTGTCCATTCAGCTTTCTTTACAAACTAGAATGACTATATTGGTTTTGCTGCCTCTGTAACAAAGCAAAGAATTTAATTTTAATGAGAAAACTTTAACCTTTTAAACTCATTTTATATAATTTTCGAAATTAATTGATGCTTCATACCTCTTCCACTTTTCATTTCTAACTATATGTCATTCTTTAATCACGTATGAGATTTCTTGTATAGTTACTTTCCATTTCTGAACTGATGGACCCTCAGGCTTTAACCAACCTGATTTAACTTACGTGATGACTCACTGTCTCATTGTCTCCTCTGTCCTCAGTTACATCGCCTTCGACTTCCACAAAGAGTGCAGCCATATGCGGTGGGACCGTCTGCAGATCTTGGTAGAAACTGTCACTGAGACACAGGATGAATACAGGTAGATTAATCAGTAACTGTTCTAGGGGAATATGATGTTTCTTATTGTAAAGGAGTATTCAGATTGTCTCTGTGTGTAGCTACTTCATGGTGAGCTCAGAGGGGAAGACTGTGGCCCAGCAGAGAGGAGTCTTCCGCAGTAACTGCATGGACTGCCTGGACCGGACCAATGTCATCCAGAGTCTGCTGGCCCGGCGCTCCCTACAGTCGCAGCTCCAGGTATTGTTAATCCCACTGCTGCTGAGCATCTAAGAACAGTAAAATAATCACACAATAGTTTCATAATATATGTTTTAATGGTTATTGCATGTCTTCAAGTCTTATAGTTTTTGAGGTGGGAATTTTCTACTGTTGTTGGGAAATTGGGAAAGTTCAGCAGGAGTTCATAAATAATGAGACAAGAGTGCACATCATGCCATCACTTCCTGGCAGAATATATTCATTAATTTATGAGTTGTATATGTACCTCACAGAACATATTTGTTATTCCAGTTTAGACTATGTTGATAAAAAAAGTCTGTTCTCTGTCATAGATAGAATTTGCTCAGTCATTTTGTAGCTCGATTGACCTGTGAATCATTTAGAAATATGAAGCATCAAAGTTTTTTTAATTCAGTAAATGAATTGCCACTTTGACGCTTTGGATTGAGGTTGTTATAACCCTTTTAAACGCATGTTTTCAGCTACCGTGGAAATAAATACAACTTTTGAATCCCGACTGTTGACCATATTGCTGTATGTATTCCGGCTGTGTTTTGACAGAGAATGGGGGTTCTGAATGTGGGCCAGCAAATAGAAGAGCAGGCTGAGTTTGAAAAGATCTACAAGAATGGTAACTCTTGTTCTGGTGTGACTTGACTGTTAGCATGTGTTGTGTGTTTAAGTAGAAAGTGTAACCTCTCTGCGTGTTCTCACTGTGTTCACTGTGTGTGCGCTCTCTAACCAGCATGGGCTGACAATGCCAATGCTTGTGCAGTTCAGTACGCAGGAACTGGAGCCTTGAAAACAGACTTCACAAGGTACAGTGTGCTAACAAATATGAACTGACTAAAGTGTGCCATACTCTGGAGGCCCTCCGCAATGTTGTTATGATAATCTGCTGTCTAATCAGAGGTCATTTCTCCATCAGGACAGGGAAGAGGACGAGATTGGGGCTGCTGATGGATGGCTGGAACTCCATGATCCGCTACTACAAAAACAACTTTTCTGATGGATTCAGACAGGTATGACGTATATGACATGATTTGTCAGAATATATATATAAAAATGTATGTAGCACTTTGCTGATGTATTACTCCTGAAGAAAACTGCTTGTGTAATTATGTATCATGTGTAATATTTTGATCAAACTCTTAATGAAATTATGATTTGTGACCTGGCTGCAGGATTCCATTGATCTGTTTCTGGGTAACTTTGCTGTCGATGAGTCAGATGGACCCACTCCCCTTCGTGTGCAGAAGGACTGGAAGTTCCTCACGGTCAGTACATCAGTATTGTCTCTTTAGTCAGCAGCAACTGTGAATATGAATCTCGGTTAAATCCAATGAATTTTTATTATTCTTTGCAGCTGCCCATCATTATGCTGGTTGCATTTTCCATGTGCATCGTGTGTCTTCTCATGGCTGGTAGGTTCCTCTCTGCTGATAATGTTTAAAGTGTATTTGTGTTGGGTAAAGAGCTGCACTGCTCCTTACAAACATTGTAAGGCTCTGTATAATAATATGGCATCTCTCCGTCCAGACAGCCTTTTAGCTTTGTTTCAGAAATAATCTCTTTCCATACTAACATATCTTAAAACGCATATTGCGTGACTATTGATTATATGCATATGCGACTCAGATTAAACCCTGGCAGCTGCAGGGAAGCAAATCAAATCCTGTTTGACTGCACCAAAAGATGAGTGAGATGTGCTGCATGGTAAACTCTGTTTTACACCTGACAAGTTTTACCAGTATTTGTCTGATTATCTGTGTAGATTGATTGATCAGACTGAGAAGGAACACCAACTAAATGTGGACATTCACAGAATGTGGTTAGTGGTTCAGCAGTAGTTATTATAGGGACGAACAGCACGAGAGTGGCCGCAATGAACTGTTGTACTATCTCCACGCTGAGGGCAGCATGTCAGCAGAAACTCCAGTCCTCCATCTGTAGCACAGTACAGCTCTATGTTAGCTGCAGAAAACATATGCACTGTAGTTATTGGTGTGAAACAAAAGAAAAACTCCTTGAAGCCTAAAAAGATTCTTCAGTCTGGACCTACATGTGTGTGGCAGGGCTGCAGACAAAAAGTAAAAAAGAAGCTGTAAGGAGAGGAGAACTGTGGTGCAAAGAAAATCTGACTTCACTTACATTGCGTTTTTTAAACCAACGTCATTTCAACAGAATGTTTCGATAAGGAACTTAATTTAAAGTTGCTGCCGTTTTGAGAACCAGCGTAAATGACTGCTGCTTATCTTCCAGGTGACACATGGACAGAAACGCTGGCATATGTGATGTTCTGGGGGGCTGCTAGTGCCATTACAGCCACTAGCATTTTGTTTAATGGCCAAGACTTTGTGGACGCCCCCAAACTGGTTCACAAGGAGAAGATGGACTGAGCGACGGTGTGCGCTTGTGTGTATAAGGAGCACCTGGGTCCAGCAGACTCATATACCTCGTCATCGTCACCATCTACTACCCCACGTCTGGTATCTAGACCCATTTGCTGCCTCCACACTGCCCTGCAGACTTTCTCATCCGCAACTGTTTCTCTGTCATTTCTCAACTGGTTATCTTCAGTGGTACTGCACACACTCCTTTACATGGTTTACATTCCTCATACTGTGTCTTTAGGTTGCTGCTTCTTTGGGGTTCACTTTGTTCCATAGGGTCTATGATGGGAGTAAGCTATCTGACTACTGCTCATTTTGTATTTGTTAACCATTTTTAACAACAATTTGTAGAAGAGGATCAAGGCCATGTGAATATTTTCACTTTTTAGTAAAATGGTGAAAATGGTCTGTATTCATACAGCGCTTTTCTGGTCTTGATGAACACTCAAAGCGCTTTACAGCACAAGAAGAATAAAAACACTTCTATTCTGACTCTGAACTCATAATTGAGATTAAACTCAACTAAGTTATGAAACTAAAGTCAGTCCCAAAATGTTTTCACACTGCCCTAATCCTATTTTCTATTGCGCTTCATTTCATGGGTTTTAGTTAAAAGCCCTCCACACCCATCCAGGCCTTTCAGTTAGTCTGGCGGATCAAGCCTCCAGATAAAATGCTACAATGTCGATGTGGTGTTGAAAACCAAATCCAAAAGAATAAATGAAAATAAAAATGAAATATGAATGTTTATTCAGATAGCAACATTAAGAATACAGTTACAAGGAGTGTAAATATCAAATCTAAAATACAAACTGACTCCATGTCAAAGGATGGAAAATCAAAACGGTTAAGAGGTTGGTAGTAACTCAGAGTTGGATGTAAATTGTTCATTTTTAAATGATTGATTATTGTAGCTTTAAAGATATTCAACGTAATTGATTATATTCATCACAACAGATGATTGTTCCCCTCAATGTCAATGGACCATCAGACATGTGGCACTTAAAATGCACATACAGAAAAATATATGTTGTACCTCATTAATGAATGGAGCATAATAACAGAGTATGACGATGATGCTCTAACATCTTGTTCTTATTCTACCACGAACTGTGCTGCCTGCGGACAGCTCAATGATTTATCCACTTGCATGGAGAGTTAATACACAGGAGTGTCTTGTTGTTGTTTTTAGCCAGGATTCAGACGTCTACATCTCAGCACACATCATCAATTCGTTCAGTGATTCAAAAAGGTCTTCTCACGTTTTTTCTTTGTTAAAAGTGGTTAAAGAAGCAATTGATCATATAGAACTTTGTTTGAAGAATTCCAAATTCTCTATTTAGCTACTTATCCATAAAGATTTCAGCAGAAAACGGTCAGAACATATTTGACAGTCATGGAAGAGGTCGACAGACATGCAGGTTGTGATAAGTCCAGAGCTCGGTTCTAGTCACTTTTCCTTGATTGGCTAGACAAACTTCCTTTGCTTTTAGAGACTGGTGCCACAGTTTTGAGGATAACTGAAAATGAAGTTACATTGATAAAATAGTTTTATATATGCTGTCTACCACAGTGTCTTTTTTAAAACTTAATCACCAGGGGGGAGCTAGAGTCACATCATACACATTGCAGCTTTAACTCTGATTTTATCCCAAGTTATCAGGTGAAGCTCTGTGGTCATCAGGACGCTCAAGTGGTGTTTTAGAAGAGAGCAGTCTAAGGTGAAAGGAAGAAGGCCTGCACATAACGTTGTTGCTATGACCACGGTTACATGGCTTTATATTACAAGATCCTTCATTGTCTAGTCATCCTTGTAAAGTTGTAGTAGTATCACATGAGCTGCTGTATGTAGAGAGTGGTAGGTAATTATACTAAAGTCAGAGCAGATTAGTTTATCTTGAGATAACGATTTACAATAATTACTCTGAGTTCTCAGACATAAAAACCTAGAAGTTAGCATTCAGGGTCAGGCCTCCATATTCAACCACGTTTTCCTGTCATTCAGTTTCCTGTTTCATCACAGATGTCTGGTTTGACTCTCCAATTTAGTTTATCACGTGGAGCTCCTGTCTTCTATCACTGCCTTACACCTGCTGCTCAGTGCAGGCGACGCAGACATTTAAACCTTTCATATTATCAAGATGTGGATGGGCTTTGAAACCGCCCCCTCCGCTGTTGACAGGTTTACTATCTCCTCGGTCTGTGTGTGATCCACATACAAGCTGTGTGTGTTGAATCAACTCAAACATTCACATACATCAGACAAAGTCAAGGAGGTTTATTTTGGTAATCTTATATGAAATCATTTGTATACAATGACCCACTTTGCTTACTATGGTTTTCATTATAATGTACTTGTTTGTTTAGTTGTTGTGGGCCTTGAATTAGGATTTATTTCTATAAAAAAATTTTGCCAAACTACTTTTCACAAGCTCCAGAATGAAAGTTCAGTATCATATGCATATCTCAGTGCAGGAGAAATCTGTCTCAAGGACATGTCCTTGAAATATTTGTACAATTAAAATGAGATTTGTATTACAACTGATGTATTGGTTCAAGACTTGGGCAGTCAGCACCTTATTGTCAAATTGGAATTGTACCCTAAAATGATTATACTGAGAAAACATCACCATGTGCAGCTGCAGATGTAGCCTGAATGTCACACAGTGAGACACTTCACTGTGGTTTTCTCTTGGATGTGATGATTCTATCTCTACTTATGTTTTACATCTAAACCTGAATCAGTAATTGATCATTTAGAGGCAGGCCTTTATTTTGTTTCCAAATTTACAGTTTGTGTTACAAGTTTGTTAATGAGGTCACAACCCTGTGCATGACGGCTGATGATATTTTTATATCTGCAGGTTGATCATTGTCACGTATTACAAACACTTGGGTTATATAGGTATAAATGTATCAACTTAACAGTAAACAATATTTAAAAAATCTTCCGAAGTATTTGAAGCGAGAATCAGTTGTTTAGTTTGCTGTGGAACATGTAAATGATTTTGTGTTTCTCCTTAGCACTTTTCAATGCCCTCTTTCCAGAGGCTTACTTCAACCAGTTGTTTCTGTGATTGTCAATAAACTTCAGTTAATACAGATTTTCTTTTCTTTTTCTCTCATACACCATCAGATCCACTGTCCATTGAAGACAGTATAGTCAAGCCTTCTCTATCTATTCTGTGTGTTTGCTCTTTTTGTACATTTAAGTTATGGTTATTTTATGAGCAGCTTCCTGTGTTTTTCGAAAATTATATTTACTGTAATTGCCCTTTTGTTTGGAACACCTCATTAAAACTAATGTAGTCTATTTTAATCCTGCATGTCCTACCCTCTTCTAATTGGTTATTTTATTTACTGTTAATTGGTAATAGCTGCACTCTAACCAGGGGACAGAGACAAAAAGGAGTTTCAATGTCTTAAATCAAAGAATTATAGTAAGAGGAGTTGAATGTGAACAAGCAGGCTGATTATCAGGTTCAGTAGAGGAGTTGGTTTCTACAGTCCCGATTCCAAATAGAACAGACAAGCAGGAGTCCGAACAGAATGAGAGGCTGAGTGTGGCTCATATTCACAAATGACGGGATGATCCTGAGCAGGCGTTAAAAAGTGAGATGAGCAAAAGTTAAAGTTAAAGTACTGTGAATAGCAATAATAGACTGATGCCAGCTCAAGTCTTTCACGTGAAGCTCCAATGATCTGTGAGATGTCAGGTGGACCTAGACAGTGATATTTCCCCATTTCCATATGTAAAACCACTGACTAACTCGATTTTCAGTAGAAAAGTGCACATTTGTGAAAAAACTAAATACATGCAATCATTTTTTCTTTTGCTTTACCACACAAAATCGAAATCAATTGGATCAGAAGTTACAGAGGGTCTGACCTCTGTCTGTGATCGTTTTACCTTTTAAAACTTTGAAGGAAAGTAATTATCACCCTGCATTGGATGATGATTATGTAAAATGAGTTTTTATTATGAACATTAACATGGTTGTTAGGTGTTTATCACGAAATGTGTTTTTGACTAAAAGTGTATGTTTTGGATGCCTCACAGCATATGATGGTTTTGTTTATATTTATGTCTTATTCACTCGGTCCCTGGCAACAAGGCTTTGCAATAGAGTGAATTCAGGTAATCTGGGACATTTTGCGATTTTTTTTTTTTCTAGGGCTGAATAGTGGGGAAAAAATGGCTGCCAACCACTTAGAAAAGGCAGAACTTTTGGCTCAAACATTTAGGAAAGTTCATAGTTCAGATAATCTTACAGAGGAGGCCAGGCAGTGGAGGAACACTTTGAAATTTAGATCTTTGGGTACTGATGAGTAGGTGCAGAATACTCCAGTGTATAAACGGTGGAGAATGGAACATCGTAAAGTAATGTACATCGTCCATTGTTATTTAACATAATTATCAGTGACATTTTCTCTCAGGTTGATGGATGATGGCATTACTCTTCTAATGCCATTTAGGATTAGAGGAGTAAAGCTAATGTTGGGATACTGGGTTAATCTCCAGCGGCACTGTAATTTGTGTCCTGCTAAAGGCATTTTAACAGACTGCTGGGAACATGACTCCAATTTCCTGAGTTTCAGGTAGATTAGAATAGAATAGAATGCCTTTAATGTCATCGCACAATGAAGCATGGCGAAATTACAGCAGCTACCACTGAAACGTGCATTTAGTAAAAAAAGAAATAATATATAACAATAAAATAAACATGTTTACAGACAGGAAAACTATTCAAATAGTGCAAAGAGAGGTGCAAGAGGAGGGAGCTGTGGTTGATTGTAGTGCAAAGTAGGTAGTTATGGTTGGATTGTATAGGAGTTATTTTATTGAGTTCAGTGTTCTGACAGCCCATGGATAGAAGCTGTTCCTCAGTCTATTAGTTCTGCATTTGATTGGTGATCCAAAAGCAGAAAACATGGGATTATGTCATTTACAATACACCCCACATTTACAATCTCTTCCATTCCTCCCTGGTTATTCCCATTGCCAAGCATAGACCAGTCAGTATTTATTTTCACAGAAGGTCCCAAAGATCCAGACACAGGGTGTGCAGGTGCAGCAGTATTTGTCCTGGTGAATGATTTCCACCTGAAGAAAAGAGTATCATGTATCAGTATACACCACTGGTAATATTAGTGGCCTTGCAGTGGATAGAGGAGAAATAAATAAAGAAGAGTTATTGCATCTGACAGTTTTCCAGCATTAACCATCACACGATCTGGCACATCATCACTTAGAACTGATAGAATGGAGATTGAGGGTATACTCAAATGCTTCCTTTGGGTTCCTGCTCATGTTGGTGTGGGGGGAAATGAACATGTTGATATTCTGGGTTAGGGCTATAGCCAAGACTAATTCATTAGGACATGTGCACAATCAACATGGGAGGAGTACTGGGAAATTAATGAAACAGGAAGACATCAATATAATATACAAAGACGTGTTGGTGCAGGGAGGAAGGTGGGCTGGAAACGAAGGAAGGAAAGCACTTGTTTGAGAATAGGTCATTTAGGTCTCAACCAAACATTGCATAAAATTGGAAAGCACCCAACTGGAAAATGCCCACACTGTAGCCAGGCAGGAAGAGTTGAACATGTTCTACTTCATTGCAGGAAATATGATATCACCTTTGTCAGGTCTCTTCAGACAAACAGCTGGCAAGATTAGCTGTGAGATTATTCAATGCATCAGAGACACAGATTTGGCTAAAAGGATATGGGTTTATTAATATTTTCTACTCATTCATTTCTTTGGAATGGCAGATAAACTTTCTAAGGAGACTGCAAAAAAATAGCTGCACTGATGTGGAAGCCAGCTTCAGTGAAGCAGATACCAAGAGCACCATTAAACCGAGGTTGAAAGAAAGGTGGCAGAAGCTACTGGAGGAAGATAGGAAAGGATGAAGGTTTTACCAAATTCAAAGGAAAGTGGGAGGAATGAGATGGGCAGGAGGAAACAGGAGAGAAGAAACAGTCATATCGAGGACTAAACAGTACGTTGCCAAAAATAGGAAAACATGACACAGGAAAATGATTATTGTGGGTAAGAGGAAACAGTTCATCATTCATTGTACACTGTCTGAAATATGAGCAAGAAAGAATGCCTTGAAATAAGTGAAGTTTGATTTAAGACTTATCCTACAAAACAACTGGAAAAAGCAAGTTTTATCGAATGCTGTATTATTATCTCAGAATAATAAATATAATTTAGACATTTTGAATAGATGTTCACGCCCCAGTCCAGAAGGTGGCGGTAATGCACCAAATCGTTGTTTGCAAACTGCCAATAAAACCCCCCAAAAAAGCAGAAGAAGACGCGCCAATTCGCGGTAATCCAAAGAAGAAGAAGAAGAAGTGTTGGTGGAGTTTCACGCTGCTAGTTAGCTAGCATCATCATGAGCATCGGGGAAGTTTCACCCTGAATTACAGTCTCAGCTTCACTTTAAATTCACCTTGTAATCGTCACATCTTCACCGGCACCATGAGCACGTTATGGATGGGGAACGTGAGTTGTTCACATTTCGTAGTTGCGACAAATTGTTTAATGTTAGCCGTATTAGCTGCCTTAGCATTAGCCCTGCGTGTTGTTCCTTGAGCAGATCCGGACTTTAGCTTTGTCGTGTTTGTCAGTATAGTGTCTTGACAGACTGCTGGTTAATCCTGCTTAGCGGGGAACACGATGGTGAATGAACTTTTTGAGGCATTTAGCAAAGCAAAGATTCACAGTTCACTTCCTCCACTGCTGTGGGAGAGATGTCCTACTGATGTAATGAATTCGAACCTGCAGCAGGGTGAGACGAGGTCAAGGGAAACATTCATGGGAAACCTTTTGTCTTCATCTGAAGCATAGAGCAAATCTGGGCTTGTATCTGTCAATAATTATTCAACGTGACACCTGGAAAAAGTCAGTTTACACTTTTCTCTCTATCCAGGTCTGTCCAGAGTAGGTGGAAATCAAACATGATCTTTAGATTTGTTAAACCTGAACAAGAACATCGTGGACAAACCTCAGACTGTCTCAGACCCCCTGTTAAATGTGTGAAACCTTTTTTTCTGTTAGTGGAACAGGTTTTTGAATGGACATCATCCTTATACTGTAGATTTTTATGATATAAAATGTGAAAATGATCTCAAACAGTGTTGTTTCTCTCAGTTCTCTTGTCTTAACTGAATGTTCACCAGATTCAGTTGTTTTTCTCTGCAGCTGGACTCCTACATGGACGAGAAGTTCATCATCAGAGCCTTTTCCACCATGGGGGAGCAGGTGGTCAATGTGCGGATCTTACGGAACAAGATGACAGGGTGAGGATGTTTTCTACAAGCAGCTATCAATTTTACAGTTATTTTATTCTGATTTTTAAGTGGTTTGTCATCCAGGGGTGCCCTGGGATACTGTTTTGTGGAGATGACAGATGAGGCCACAGCTGAGAGGTGTCTCCGCAAAATCAATGGAAAAGCTTTACCAGGAGCCAGTCCGGTATGAAGAGCATTTTTCATCCACAGTAACTGTGTTATTTTTTCTTATTCTGGTTAATTGAGACACTGTTATGGAAACTTACGTCTCTCTCTCTCTGTGTGTCACAGCCCACAAGATTCAAGTTAAACAGAGCCAACTTTGGGAAACAAGACAGTGGGTGAGTCCAAATAGAGAAGCAGTTTCAAGGAAGATTATGGCCAGTAAGGCTACGTCCACACTAATATGTTTCAGTTATAAAACACATCACTTTAGCCACATTTATTCCTGGCAGTTTTCAAGCCCCCCTAAACTTTTGCATATGCTACTGGCCCCATTTTAGTTTGAAATCTGTGGGTTTTTGTTTTAGTCTGGTCGATTAGAGAGATATTTGGAAACAATGTGTCAGATGCCCATATTAATAAATACTCACTTTTTCCTGGTAGGTTCTAATCAGTCACAATTTGACTACTTCCAGTGAATGCAAAACTTTGCGAACACTTACTGTCAGCAACAGTAGCACCTCATCTTCACTTCAAGAAAAGAAATCCCATTGCAGTTCTGCGTTTGTAGTATTGTAGCCTCTAAGCAACAACTGCAGATTAGACTACCTGTTCACATGAGCACGCACAT